CAAGTATACAACATCTTCTAGAAGCTTTCTTTTAAGTTATAATTCGCTACTGTATTAACGGTTTCAATCATAATTAATTGTTACAAACATTAAATTGAATAATTATTTCAATTATTTCAAAAAAAAAATTAATGTATAAAAATAAATAGACATTTAGTATAATATATAAATTATTGGATAAATTTGGAAGATGCATCAAAATGTTTTCTTAAATATTTTTCTGCTGTATAAATAAGAGTAAAATGGAAATATATATATAAATAAAGAATTTTTGTTTGTTTGTGTTTCTATTATTTTTCTTTGTATTTATGCTTTATTCATGTTATTTTCTATTTTAATTGCCTTTTCTATGTTGCCTCCATACAATGATTTAATTCGTTTTAGGTTTTATAGAATTTATTATTTTATTTTATAGAAAAAAATTATTCTCATTATGCGTCAATTCATGATGTACTTTATATGATTTCTCATTAAAATTTAATTAAGAAAAAGATTGTATCCAAAACGTGTTTATTCTATTTTTAGGGTTAAGTACACAAATGACCCCCGATTAAAGAGTATTGTTTTATTAAGTTCATCGACTTTTAAAAATTGCAAAATGATCCTCTGACTATAGAGTGTTGCTTTGTTGAGTCACTCGACTATCAAAAGTTACAAAAAGGTCATCAGACTATTCATTATGTTCCAAACTCTTCCTTTTCTGTTAAAAGCGTGACAATATTCTGAGCTAAACGTTAACCTATTGACTGTGATATGATAAATTATGATCCTAAAATCTCAAAGACAATCATATCTCAGTCATCATGTTAACATCCAGCTTAGGCAACCACCATTTTTTAATGAAAAATGACGAGTTTCTGTGTACTTTATCCTATTTTTTATATGTTCAAATTATTATAAAATTTTAAACATTAATAATTATTCTTATATATTTTTTATAATTTCATATATCCTATTGTATCATGTTACTTTTTGTTTATATTTTCATTTTAATTCATTTTTCATAATTTTCATATTGTGTTTAATTCATTAATATTTCTTATGATCTATCATTCCTATTTTAACCTAATTCAGATTATTTTATTTAAATTCTTATAGTTATCATAAAGTAATATAAATATAATATTTTCTTAATTATTGTTTATTTTAATATTTATTTCTATTTTTATTTATTTCTCTTGTGATATTTTTCACATTATTATTATTATTATTATTATTATTATCTTAAAAAAGTTTATGTTTAATTTAATCTTCTAAATTTTTCTTTTTGTTTAGCATTCAATATTTTATTTTACCATATAATATTTTGTTTGATTTTTTTCAGTAGTAATTTCAATCGATATTAGGTAAGTAATTCGAATTGAATTTTTAAATTTCAATTTAAATTTAAATTTTCGCAATTAAGACAACCGACAAATTAAATGGTGCTGAAAGGGCAGTTCAAGGGTGCTAATCATTCCTTAACTGTAACCGATTCTCGAACCTATTTTAATCGAATCTTTGCAAATGCAAACCAATTTTTCGTCTTAAAAATAATTTTTCTTAAAATTGTTTTTAAAAGACATTTTTAGGTATTCGACCTACCTAACCCAAAGGTCGATGACGTCTTTTTTCCAATTCTATTCAATTTAATTTCAAAATCCCTAATGTTTCAAAATTAAAGTCGTAACTTTTTTTAAACATTAAATAATTGTTCCACCTAAAAATGGTTATGACAGATATATTATTAAAACAACACTTTCAATTTAATTTGTTTTATTCGTGATTAGGGATGTCAAATGGGTACGGTTTCGTGGATTCCGCACCGCAGCAGCTCCAATTGGAGCGGGGATGGGTATAATTTTAGCGGGTAGTGGACGGATGTGGATTTATAAAGTGGTACCCGTCGTGGGTGGTGGGCGGGTAATGAGTTTGAGACATTACCCTTCGTGGGTGGTGGGCGGGTAATGGGTTTGAGACATTACCCGCCCCGCATCCGCCCGCCCCACATCTGCCCGCCCAACTAAATATCTATTAAATTTGGACCATAATTTGTGTAATTTTAGAGACTAATTCATAAATTTTAATATTGTATAATATATAACATATAATTTAACCAAATATTAAGGATATTTAGTCTTTAATATGGTCTTTAATTAGGGAAATATTTGGCTCTTTGATTAAACTCATAATCCCACTAACCACGTCACTTTCCATATTCTTTAGCCCATGCTGCCCATACAAACACAAATTAGCCGTACTATAAGCATTAACATCAAAAGCAGCAGTTTCCATGTTCTTTAGCCCCTCAAAACCCATATTAGGCGCACTATGAGCATTAACATCGAAAGCAACTCAACATCCAGCTCTGCGACTACATGCTCCCTACAATCTGTCTCCATAACATTCGTAGAGCCACTCCTTTGACAAATTGAAGCATGCGCTGCTACCCCATCACGAACTGTCTGGGAACCAACTCCAACATCCCATTAGTTTGCTGTCAGGCGGGTCTAGATGGGTATGTCGCTAGTGAGTAGTGGGTATGGGGATGGATTTGAAAATGTACCCGCGTGGGCGGGTGTGGATTTGAAAATTTGTACCCATCATGGGTGGTGGGCAGGTGGTGGATTGAAAAATATTAGGTGGGTATGGAGATGGGGGAGGGGGTATCCGCGCCCAGCCCGCCCGTTTGCCATCCTTATTCGTGATAACATGATTTAAATATTATAGAGATACATTAAAATGAAAATATAATTAGAGGTATATTTATAACCATTAACACAAAGAACTGTTTATTTAAGATTATATAAAGATTCTATAAAGAAAATATTACAAATCCATCTAAAAAAACTTGAATAAAAGATACATAAGAACAATCATAAATCATAGTCGAACGTCGTGAGAAAATTATCTCCAAATGCAAATTGTGTATTTAAATCCAATTCAATAGTCTAAAGACAAACATAATAACAAACAAGCACCATTTTGGTCAGTCCTAATATCGTCAAGTCTAATCATGAAAAAATTAAACAAAAAAGAGTCAAACGACTCACAACATGTCAAAAGATATATATATATATATATATATATCATAAAAACAAACAAAAACATGTCATAGAGACATAATAATAGACAATAAAAAAATAAAAATAAAATGTGATATAAGAAATACAAAAATAACAGAAAATATGTATGTTATCTTATTATCATGCTTAAAATGTTGAATTATCAAGGCTTAATACATTTTTAGTTACTTAAACTATATTTTGAATTGTTATTTTATGTTTAAAGAAATTGTTGTTAAAAATATATGTTTAATGTGTTCCCATTACACTTTTAGATGCCTACTGTTAAAAAAATCATTAAGTGACACGTGTCACATTTTTTTAAGATAAATTATTATTTAAAAATATTTTTTAAAATATAAACGTGACATGTGTTACTTAATGACTTTTTTAACAATAAGCACCTAAAAGTATAATAAAAAACATTAATTACTTTTTTTTAACGAAATTTTTTTTTAGACACCGTAAGTAAATTCAAGGTGTAGTTTATACGTCTAAAAGTGTATTAAACCAAATTTTAATAAATTAAACTTTTAATGGGTTATCAGATTGGTTGGTGTTTTTATATTAATTTTACCATTCCCGTCAATTTTATCACAACAAATAATGACATTCTCGACATGTATGTTATTGCAAAAATGAAAAAGCCACAACCAATTACTGCTACATAACTCAACAGATATTAAATAAGCACCTAAGCTAATAAATTATTTTGTAAGGAAGCTATTAAATTAGTTTTACACTTGAAAATAATGATTCAAGGGATAAATAATAAGGGTAAAATACATCAATCATCACTTAATTTTACTCTCTCTTCTATTTCATTCAATATACTTTGAATCCGTTCAATTTTCTCACTGAATTTAACACAATTAACATTTTTAGTCATCCCGTCATTTTTTCACTAAACGAGATGCAAAACGACATCGTTTTGGTGAAAACTTTGTTTTTCTAAAACGGTGTCATTTTAAAGCCGTTAAATACTTAACGACTGAGTGACCAAAAATGCTAATTATATTAAATTTAGTGAAAAAAAATTGAACGGATTTAAAATAAAATGAGTAAAATAGGAGAGAGAGTAAAATTCAGTGATGATTTTGGATAAAAAGTCTTATTACCATGACATCTTCAGAAAATCGATTAAAACACATGAAAATTTTCGATTGATTTTGGAGCATCCGATGATGTTATTACCTTTTATCAATTTTTTTAAATGTCAGATATTTCGATTGATTTTTTTTCATATACTATTCATTCTACTCTAAGTTTTACTAGAAAAATAAGGTTAGAAAGAAAACCGAATATTTATTATTATATGTAGATAATTATTTTTTATTTTAAATAAATATAATTATGAACTTTTAATTAATTAATTATGAAATAATTACATTAAAATAAATAAGAGAGTAAAGATTACTCATAATAGTTCATTTATTAAAGACCGAGGTCCACGTATACTCAAATATTATTTTACTTACAAACTTCCTTCTAAATAGGCAAAAAAGCGCCCTCAACATAACAAAAAGAGAGCGCTCAAATCAATATTTCATTACCTTTTTGCAAAGACAAATCATATTCGTACTTAAAATTCTTAGGTAAACTACATAAGGTTCCACCAAATTTTAAACGTTTATTATTTATATTATTGAACTTTTAATTTTAGCAATTATAATATTAAATTTTGTTTTTTGTTTTAATTATATCGATGGTCGTTAAATCGTTAACAGTTGAATTAAAATGATATCATTTAGGTGAGGTGTCTAAGTTAGCATCCGTCAATCATGTAATTGTATTGTTATCTATTTTACTATTTAATGGTATAATTGAAATAAAAATCAATGTTTAATGTCATAATCGACAACATTAAAGTTCAATGATATAAATCATGTAATACCTAAAGTTTGGTCGTATAGAGTTTCCCTCGATTCTTTATTAGGATTAATTAATGCTTAAGTTGTAAGGCTACTAAACATGATAAAACCTAAGCTAAAGCCAACGAAGAAAAAACGAAACAAATCGCCCATCTCTTAAAGAAATACTCGCACCATAACTAATCCTCATCTTCACTAATCAACCTTTGTTTCTCTCTAGAACATGCACAGACAATCCTTAGGCTCGGCGACCTCCAAGTTCCTCCGCATCCATGGCGGAGAAGAGAATCCGATCGCCGATGATCAGAAGCGTCAATTAATCATCGACGACGATGGTAAAGACATCAAACCTCGCCGATCGTCGTTCTCGCCTTCTCCGTTTTCTACGACGTCGCCGTCTTTCACATCGCCTACTAAGCCTGAGAAGCTCATTCACCTAATTCCTGTTCTTACCTTCCTTTGCCTCCTCATTCTTTACCTAAAATTCTCAGTCCTTCGCAGTCCGGTATGCTTTTCTTGTTTTCAGACAACGTCTAAAGAGAGGAAGCAAGTTTATTCAAGTTCAATCTTCAATTTGTTTTTGTTTTTTGAATTTTTGTTTCAGATTTGGCTCAGTTTAACGGATTCAAGCATCCCTCGAAGCAGTTAGGTATAATGCAGCTTGAATTCATATTTTCTTTTCTATATTTTGAATTTTATGTTTTTCTTCTATTTTTTTTATTTCCAGATTCAACCGAAATCAGTGAGGCCGGTCGATTTATTGATTCTCGGAGAGGCGATAATTTGGGGATCCGAAGCCTGAAGAACTTGCAAGAAGTTGATAAAAACGTCTCAAAATCTCGTTTCCACAGGAAAATAGCCGATTTCTAAGTTTACCCTACTTTCTCCTTTTCTTTCCTCACTCGTTCATCGCTTCCCTCTTTAGCTGCCAATAAGCCCGCACGTATCGGTCACACTTTCACGTGCGAGCATTTTGTGCCCAAATTTTTTTGTCGCACTCGATCAATTTTAATTTTAATTTCTTGGTTTTGTAAAGCAAGCATCTTAGCTGGGAATCTACGTTGTTGCACTCGATCAATCATTTGATCAGCCTTTTCTCGAGAAAATATGTTTTGGTGTATAAAACATAAAAGAGAAGAAAAAATTACAAGAAGTTTGAAAAATATTTTTAGAGTAAAGAATTCAAGTAAGTTAAAGTGCGCATTTGGAGGTTCTGTTGCAGTAATTTGGGATCGAGCTACAGATGAGAATTCGAATTGCGGTTTCGATACCAGCCAGAAAGTTGCACTAGTCGCAGGAGCATATTAACTGCTTCAACGGTGATAAACTTACTCTTCCAAAAAATATACATTTTTCATCTGATCCGAATTAGATCTGTCTTTTCGAGATAAAATTTGAACTCGATCAGACTTTAAATAATAATACATTAAAAATATTACTTTTATTTAACAAAAATATATATTTAATTTAAAAATATAGAGAGATATTATTGTAATTAACCGTAAATATATGAGATAAAATTATAATTTTTTCAAATTATATCAAATCGAATATTTTTCATTCTAAATTTAAATTTGACCTAAACATAAACCTCAAAACCCTACTCAATCCAATCAAAATTTAATATTTTAAAAATAATATAATTGGATCAAATCAAAATCCGTTGAATTCTGTCCCTATCCATCCCTATATTTAGTGGGAGAAGGTAGTGTTTCAATTGGTACAGGATTGCTTCGACGTGTAAGAGTTGAGGGCGATGGCGATGCAATTGGCGAGTTCAATGACAAGCCACAAAAAGTGTCGGTTGTCACGGACTAATTAGTTCAGTCCACCTAGTCTTATTCTCCCTCTTTCACTTCGTCATTTTCAATTTTTTCTGACTTTTTAAGATGAGGTCTTCAATACCAGATTTGAGAACAGTTTTCGTAAAAAACTTCCAAATTATAAAATGCTCTTTTTCTAACTTTGTTCTTCGTATTTTATGATCTGATTAATAGTGAGTGAAACACCTTCCATAATTGTTTAGCGTTCATAATTTTTTAATTATATTTATTTATTTTTATAATTTAGACTCTTATTTTTTTTATTTTATCTTTTAGTTATATAACTATGACGCATAATTTTATTTTTTATTTTTATAATTGATGTCTTAATTTAAACTGAGATTTTTAATATTTGTGACTCATAATTATACTTTTTTTTATTTCTATGACTTAAACCTTAGGTGTTGTTTTGGTTTTGTAATGTGCTACTAGTTGTGGTGTATTATTTTCCTTTATTTAGACTTGAGATTTTCAACGAGATATATAACTTAAGAATCAACTTTTATTAATAAATAAATCTTTGATGAGCAAAAGATATTTTTTGACTCCGATTTAATAAAATTTTATGATTTATTAATACAATATTAATTTAATTGTTTAAAATAATTAATATAAAATACTATTGTTCTATAAAATTTATTTTCTAATTTCGCTCAGTATTGAAAATGTATGAAACAACTAGATCCTTTCTTCTTTTAAATTCTCATATCATTTATTTTGTATTAAATTTAAAATTTATTTAAAAATCGACTTTTCTTAAGATGATGAGACGAGAGGGATGCCCCCATGGTGATGACCACGTGCCGCCCTCCACATACTACGCAAAACCAGGTGTGCAGGGTTTCATAATTACCTTCTTTGGTCCCATCCCATTTGGGTCCCCAACTTTAGTGACATTAAAATTATATCTCACTTCCTTGTAATGTCCTCAAAACATTAAAATCCTTACGTCCAAGAAAATTGGGTTTGGATAATGAGTAGAAATGGACGGATAGAGGTGATCGTATCACGTGAAAAATTTAAAATTATATTATATTTTATGGTATTGTTATCTTAAATCTTTTTTGAAAATTTATTTATTTGAATAATATTTCTCAAACAACATTAATTAGAAAAATACCCTTAAACTATCCACGCAAGACTACTTCGCGTCCTACAAAACACATTTAATGGACATGACGTTTTATTAGATACATGGCTTATTGACTTTTTCCAATAAACTTATTTAATTTTGGGCAATAATAAAAATATGAAACTCGTTTTTTGTAAAACACAATATCTAACATTATTCTTTTGTATAAAGTAAGATCATTCTACGTTAACACTTTGAGGTATTTTTCTAACTAATGATGATTGGAAAGTATTGGTCCAATAAATGATTTTTTGGTTTTAAACTAATAATGTTATTGTTGAATAATCAAAATTCACGGCTAATTCAATGGTCATATTTTGTTGCAGTCGTCGTGAATTTGGTGGTTCAAAGGTTGGCAGTAGATTTTGGTTGAAAATTGGCAAGGGAAAATTATTAAATTTAGTCATTGTACTTTAGGATATTTACAAGATTAGTCTTTAAGCTTCAACTATAAATACCCTAACCCATTTAGCTTCAAAATCATCCCAAATTATTATAGTTCTCTCCCAATACTAGAGAAATAAGAGAGTTTTCTTTAGAGCAATTTTAAGGGTGTAATTGGGTTGTGAGTGTTTTTTGTAAACACCTGTAAATTTTCTACTTTTAGTAAAATATCTGCAGCAGTCTGGAGACGTAGGCATATTTGGCCGAACTCCGTTATTAATTTCGGGTGTTATTATTCCGCTTTTATTTCGCATTCTCACTAATCTGGTTATAGGAAAATTACTCATCTAATTTCTCAACAGTTATATTTTAAAAAATTTATGTATTTTTTATTAAAAATATGTTTTCATCTTTTTAAAATTTTATAGGTTTAAATTCATCCTCCAACATAAAATTCTACGAACTCGCTAACAATGAATGCTCTACGTTGAATTTTTAAGATAATTTATTTAATTCAATCTCACAAGTATTGAATTTTAACTAACCCTTGTTTTCAATCAATTTGTGCAGTTCAATCTGTTCATATGTTTTTTTTTTCATTTAAAATTTATTTTATACTAAAATCATAACGATTGCTAAATATGAGATTTTAGTGAACAGTTTTTGCACACGCGAATTTACTTAAACTCAATAATTGAGACTGATTAAATATAGAAGGATGATGTCATATAAACGGTCACGTATTGATCATTTTCTTCCCACTTCTTTTATCCATTTTAAATGGTGGAGGTTGATAATGATAAGGCTTAATGAAGTATTTTTCTTTTAAATTATATATTTTATAGCTTAATTTTTTTTAAAACACTTTTGATTTTATAATTAATTTCATTATCAAATTATTCAAGATCTTTAATTTTATTTTAAAAAGGTTAAATAAAAACGTGACACGTAGTACTTTGATCCGCGTCTATTCAGGTAATTTGATATCATAATTAAATGTTAAGATATCAAAATTTTCAAAATAAAATTTAAGAGATAATTCAGTAAAATTAATATAGTTTAAGGGGCAAAGGGCTAATTAAACCTAATGATACGGATAAAGATGAGTCTCACCCTTCAAATAATGTTGTGGGTCTCGTGACCGATCCATCATTTTTATAAGCTGCTTTTTGTTGTTCCTTTTGGTGGCTTCATTACTCTCTTGCATTTAAAACTTTTAACTTACTTTTGAGGTCAAAAATTAAAATGTTTTATGATGGATTAATAATTTTAAATTAATTGACTTTAATTATTTTTATGAATTTAGTTATTTGATATATATATATATATGTAAAATTTATTTTTCATACTTTATTTATTATTCTGATTTAAAATTTAAATTCAAATCTTTAATTTTAAATATCTGAATTCTAAATCATAAATATGACATTGTTGTATCACTAAAACAAATAGATGGGTAAAGTATATAAATAGTTCCTGAAATTTTAAGGCGTTTGTATTTTGATCACTCAACTTTTGAAACTTATAATACAATTATCAAACTTTTAGTTCGTTTTCATTTCTGTCACTGTCGTTAGTTTTTTTTGACGTGACACTTAACTCCCGTTATTCCTTATTCTCAAAACATCTCATCCGTGAAAACCAAAAATTTTAGAAAAATCTCCTTCGACCTCAAGTCGTGCCATCGCCGTTCACCCCACCTTCAGTCGGGGATAACTCACACCATCATCACCACTGTCATGGGCATCGCCTCCCGACCCTCGATTTATACTCATCATCCTCTGTTCGACCCAAATTGCGAGAAGACCGTTCAAACACCATTCCTCAATCTTTGTTGTCAGTCGCTGGTGACCGTTACCACCAGTACTAGTAAAAGTGTCGCCCCATTCTGACCAAAACCCCGCTAGTCACTCGCTGAGACTCACTTCCGTTCTCCGTGGAGAGGACTTTGAATCTCATCGAAAAACTCCAACGCCCATTTTTTGTTTTCATCTATTGGGTCATCTGTTCATCACATCGCCACCACCGTTGGAGTCCTCACACCGTTCCGACCAAAACTCAGTTGGTTGTGTCTCATCGCTGTCGTCCCAACTTCCTTCTTCGCCGATACTAAATGTGGTGGGTTTATTTCCTTTTATTTATGCGATTCTTTGTTTATTAGTTCTCGAAAAAAAAGGAGTAGATAATTCCTATGGAGGGTAATGAGCAAGAGGGTTGTTTATGCGATTCTTTGTTTCTTGTTGCTTTCAAAGATGTTTGTGTTTGGATTGGTTGTACAGATAGTTATTTACTTTATGTGCAAATCTTACCACCATGAAAACATCGACAAATATGCGTTGTCGGGTCACTTGGATGTTTTTTTTGGGAGAGTATGTTCCTTTGAAACCCAAGGATGTTCAACTTGAACAATATTAGGTTTGATTGACTTCATCATCAAAGGTGAATGTAATAATTTACCTTTAATTAGAAAAAAAAAGGTTGGGGAGGGGTTTTAGTTTAGGTTGAGGAGGAAGAGGAAGAGGAGGAGGAGGAAGGTTAACTGGAGTTAAGTGTCACGCCAGCAAAAACTAACTAGAAGTAACGACATAGACAGAAGTAAAAACGAACTAAAAGTTCATTGATTGTATTGCAAATTTCAAAAGTTGAGTGGCCAAAATGTAAGTACCCTAAAAGTTTA